GGTCCCACAGGCTCAGGGTAGCAGGAAGCTCTCCCACAGAGTCACCGGACCTGGGCTTGGACTGTGTCTGGGGGTTTCCGGAACGTGGCAGAAATTCCTACTCAGTGGGTGGGGTGGGGGAGGTGCTGTGAAGTGGTGGGGGGTGTCCCAAGGGGGTAGAACAGGGTCTCGCCCACACTGCACCTGGGCTGGGCCAGTAGTCGGTCCTGCCGGCGCAGGGTAGCCAGAAGCTCTCCCACACACTCACTGGACCTCGGCTTGGATTGGCTCTACCTGGGCTAGGACTGGGTCTCACCTGGGCTAGGACTGGGTCTCTTTTCTTTTGACCAGCATTTATTTTTAGTGTTAGTCACGTTTTATATGTAGTTATAACAGTATCATGAACAAAGAACTACTTGACACATTTTTATACTTATATCAGGCTGCTAAAAGCTATTTTAATTTACTAAATTTTTAAATTAAGAGATTACCTGTTTAATTTTTAAATTTAGAAAAACCTGTTTAATAATTAAACAAGAAAACTTACTTTTTATTATTAATAATAAATGCCTGTCTTCACAGTACATGTATGTGGCTCGGTTGAGATACCACGATGCAGAGACTTCTTCTCAGCTTCTCTTTCCCTCTGCTTGGAGCCTTTCTGCTCCTTTCGCCTTCTACCCCTTCACATCTCAGGTCTGTCTCTCCAGGCAGCTGTCTTCTTCTGCCTATGGGCAGAGTATACACCACTCTTGGACTCGTAGCCCTACGTCCTTCTTTGTGATACCTTACATTTTAGGGAGGAATCCTTTCCCCAGTGAACTCTGAACTCTGGGTGGGGAAGGACAGACTTTTTGTTTGTTGGCATATAATGGACATTCAGTGAATATTTTTTGATTAGTTGACTAATCTGGGCAAATGAATGTGTGAAAGAGTTAAGAGGTATACAAATGTACCTTTGAGAAATCAAAGATGAACCCTAAAAAGATGGCTAAGAGCTGCGTACAGTAGGTTTAGATGGATGTTATGATTATCATTACTGATCCAGTCTGAGTGATCTAGGTATCTCAACAAATAATATGGTGAGTTTTGTTTACTTCTTTGTTAACATTTCCGGAAGTTCTTTGGTTGACCGAGCCACAGAAAACTAACCTATTCTCTTCTAACAGCCCAAGCACGAGCCTCTCAGTATCTTCTGTGACCTCATGGGTGTGGAGTACGAGGGCATGTGCCACTGGCTCTGCCACCGAAAGCTGGCCACTGCCGCAGAGACATACATCAAGCCTATCTCCAAGCTGCAGGCCACAAATGCCCGGGATGCGCTGGCCAAGCACATCTACGCCAAGCTCTTTAACTGGATCGTGGATCATGTCAATCAGGCTCTCCATTCTGCTGTCAAGCAGCACTCCTTTATTGGTGTGCTGGACATCTACGGGTAATTGTGTTTGTCCTCCTGGGTTAGCGGCGGGCAGTCCTCATACAGAGTACTGAGTAGCACTGTTGGCAGTGACTTTATCTCCTGCTGGTGAGGAGAGGGACAGTTCAGGAGTACCTTGATGGTGTTATTTCTCAAAATTAAAACCAAATATATATCTCAAGTCCAGAACTAATTTACTAAGCTAGTGTGTAGAATTAATTGGTTTTCAAACACTTATTGGGCAAGTTATCACTAGATCTCCAGAAATCTAATTTTGCTTGCTAGTTTGCCTACTCTGGACTCCCTCTTCACTTGTAATGCCTCTCAGTATATTGCATGTGTTTGATCCTCATTTTTCATTCCCTGCTTTAGTTTTCTAAAAAACCCTTGAAAGCTCTATTTCTCTTTCCTTCTGTGTGTATATAACCCTGTGAGTCTGTCAATTAGAAGAGCAAATAGCTTTATTTAAGTATTATTTTTCCCTACTTCAGGATGAAATAAGTCCCAAAACTCTTAGTGTCCAATAACAATAGTAGTAACATCCTGAACAGTAACAACAAAAAACCTTCACAGTCCAGAGCCAGGGGTTTAGCTCAGTAACACAGTGCCTGCCTGGCAAGTGTGAGGTCATGAGTTCAATTCCTGGTACTGGGGTGGGGAGAACTTCACAGTCCAACGTCCATGTGTGCTGGGGCCATTTTAAGTCATGCTCTGCCTCTTGGCTGACTGTCATCTGCTGAATACAAATTCCGTATTTTTGAATTACAAGCCTTTATCCCGTTTCTTTCTTCCTAGTGTGCACACTTGGCATTTTTTAAAAAAGATATTTCGTTTATCTTCTCACCATTTATTTTTTGTTTTACAGATTTGAAACATTTGAAATAAATAGTTTTGAACAGTTTTGCATAAATTATGCAAATGAAAAACTACAGCAACAATTCAATATGGTAAGAATTTTCTTCCCTGAGTAATATCCTATGATTATTCTCCTGAATTCCTAGTCTTTATTTAAAGCCTGGTCCCTGAATTAGAGCCCTGAAATACAATTATTATATGAGGTTTAGAATAGCGAAACTGCTAAGGAACCGATGATTAATAGATAGTGCAACACTGGAAAACCATTGGATGGCCCAGGTGGGATCAGGGCCATCTCTTGTCTGAGAATAATGAGAATTTGGGGCCAGTAAGTTGAGAGAGGCAGAATTATGTTAGGGGTAGCACAGGGAGAAAGAACGGGGGTTTCCTGCAGTATGTCAGTCTGAAGGGCTGGCTGTGGAGTCCCGACACCCGAAGTCCTACTTGCTGAGCCTGCAAGACGTCGGGGCTAATTTAGTGCCTTACATATTCATTCTTCTAGTGGCGCCATTTACTGTGTCAGTGGCATGGAGAATTATTTTGGGAGTAGTAGTATTAGATACCCTAGAGGACTGTCAGCACTGGGAGACTTGCAGGGCTTTAAAAATGAGGGGCAGCTGGTTGTAAC